CTCTAGGTCGGAATCTTCTTGACAAGGTACCTCCTGTCCAAATTGTCGTGGGTCTCGACGTCTTGGCGCACGCAACATCATGCGCGACATCTGGCGCTGTGTTCTCCGGAACTGGTTTTTCAATTTCCACTGTCATTGTCCATGCTTCACATCCATACAGAATAATCTGTGTAATCGTCCCATGAAATAGTCGGATCCATGTGTTCATTGAATAACGTTTCCCCAACAGTTCTGTCCGCAGAGCAAAGAACTTTCTCCATGCCGTCGCAATGCGGCTCTCCAGCTCGGTGACGTGAGATTCGCTGAATTGCAACTTCTTCCCAAGATTGCGTGGCTGGGTGCTGTTTCTTTTCTAAAAACTCGGTGGCCGTTGTGAGGAATGTGTGTCTTCTCCAGATGTAGCTCGAGTCCTGTTTTGGCGGCCTCCTTGGTCAGGTCGTCCAGCATGCCGGTGAAGTGGCGCCGTGACCTAGATATCAAGACAATGTCATCTGCAAACCGGAAGTTGGTGAGTCGTTCATGACCACCTTGAAACTGTAATCCAATCCGTTTTGTAGACCACTGCTGCTTGATGGTTCGCATAATATTTTCTTGCACGCAGTTGAACAAGAGAGAGCTCAACGTCTCTCCCTGCTTCGTGCCCCCTTGTATGTGGAACTCTCTGCTCATCTGGTCCGTTCGGACTGTAGCTGCTTGTCCATCATACAGTTTGGCCAGTAGCTACACGTACGCCACAGGCGCCCCTTGGTTACTAAAGACTCGCCAAATGCTTTAGTGGGTGACCGTGTCGAAGGACTTCTTGAAATCAACCGTGGCTGTCCATAGCGGGATTGTCCACTCGTACGCCATCTCGTGAAATTGAGAGATCGTGAACACATGGTCATAAAAGCTGCGGTGAGACCAGTCTCCGGCTTGGTCACCGGCATCTTCATCATCATCATCATCATCATCATCATCATCATCATCATCATCATCATCACCAACATCATCATCGACAGCACCATCATAATGATCATGATGATCATCACCATCATCAGCATCATTGTCAGCATAAGCCTAATCCTCATCATCCTACTCCTCCTCCTCCTCCTCCTTCCTCATCATCATCATCATCATCATCATTATCATCATCATCATCATCATCCTACCAGATTCGTCCCATCGTCACAGCGTATTGCTCATCGTCCCTCTCGTCTTCATCATCACTCCTGATCTACCTCGGAGCCCTCCTCCTCCTCTTCCTCCTCCTCCTCCTAGTCATCATCAGTATCACCATCATCAGCATCATCACCATCATCATCATCACCATCATCATCGTCAGCAGCAGCAGAAACATCAGCATCATCATCATCACCACGATCAGCATCAGCATCATCAGCAGCAGCATCGTCATCACAAGTAGCAGCAGCATCATCAACATCAGCATCAGCAGCAGCAGCATACTCATCATCAGCCGTAGCATCATCGTCATCGTCATTACCAGCATCATCGTCATCATTATCATCATCATCATCATCATCAGCAGCAACCTAATCATCATCACCATCACCACCACCACCATCATCATCATCATCATCATAAGCAGCATGATCAGCATCATCATCCGCAACATCACAATCATCGTCATCATCGTCATCGTCATCATCATCTGCATCAGCATCGTTATCGTCGTCATCGTCATCATCATGAACATCATCATCTGCAGCAACATTGTCAGCATCATCATCAGCAGCATCATCAGAATCATCATCGTGATCGTTGTCCTCCTATTCCTCCTCCTTCCCCTCACTGATAACGAGAAATGACACCCCCACCCCCGTCTCCGGAACATCGGGAGGATCCGAGAGGACGGGCCTCGAGGCGGCAGCCTCCATGCACGCAGGAGCGAAACAGCAAGGGCGACCCTGATGAGGACTAGGAGGCACTAGCAAACGCACGTCAGGGGGTCGATCCAAGGGCGAGGGGGGGGGGCAAAAAGGGCAAGGGCGGGGGTGCGGGGGGTGAGAGTGACAGAGGCGGCACGGCGCGGGCGGAGAAGGAACGGGAGGCGAGGAGGGAAGAAAACTAGAGAGGGCATTGGAAAGTAAGGATTTCCGCAAGCCCTGTAGGCTGAGGCGGGTAAGCACGTTTCCTCTTCCACCCACTCCATTACCTCCCTTCGGGGGGAAGGTTTTGCCACCCCCTTGCCCTCTCCCTCTGGGTCTGGGCGGACGGGGGGTTGTCGCGGGTAGGTCGAGCATCAATCAAGGGTTCGGCGAAACATGCAAAACCATTGCCTACCCCAAGTATTGGGCCCAGTCTGGCACCCTGGGGACGATCGAAAATACTTGGGGGATATCGTTTCTTCGACCCGTGGCCGCCAAGATCGCTCCATGACGGCCCAAAATAAACCAGGAGGGCCCCCAGAGGGCCTCAAGGACACCAGAAAAGCTCAAAGATGCTGCTAACAGGCACACCAGATATATGCCCATAAAGAGGCTCCCAAGCGGCCACCGACCGA